TTTTGTCCTTTAGCCTGTTTATAACAGTGGAGAGCTGGGCGTGGGGCACACACCTGTAATCCCAGCACCTGGGAGGCTGAGGCTGGAGGGTCACCAAAAGTTCAAGGCCATTCCCAGTACCAAAAAAAGAAAAGCGAAAACAACAATAACAAACCAGTAACAACAACAAAAATCAGATCCCAGGGACCCTAGGGGGCTGGAGATGGAGAGCCCAGGCACCTCTAGGACAGAAGCTTCCCTGGGGTCACACAAGTAGCCACACAGTGCATGAGTCTGGGAGGGAGGAGGAGCAGACAAGTGGTGTCTACCAGTACCGTCTTACCCTGAGCCTCCTTTGACCCCTTACCTGTGATGCACGTGGATTACCTGGAGATATTTTTGTTTGTTTTGTTTTTTGAGACAGGGTCTCACTGTGTAGTTGAGGCTGACCTGGAACTCACTATGTAGCCCAGGCTGGTCTTGAACTCACAGCGATCCTCCCGCCTCATCCTTCTGAGTGCTGGGATTATAGGATTATAGGCATACCCTACCATGCCTGGCTGTCGGGAGATTTTAAGGAGAGAACCTGTTCCCACCCCTGTTGGGATGCTGCCCCCAGCCCAGTCATGGCCTCAGCTCAGTGCTGCAGACAGAAGCTTCTCAGGTGCCTGCAATCCCAGCACTCAGGAGGTTGAGGCAGGAGGATCACTGAGAGTTTGAGGCCAGCCAGGGCTACAGAATGAGCCACCTTCTTAAAAAGTAAAACAGCCAGGGCGTGGTGGCGCAGGCCAGTAATCCCAGCACTGGAGAGGCTGAGGCAGGAGGATCGCTGTGAGATCGAGACCAGCCTGGGCTACACAGTGAGTTCCAGGTCAGTCTCAACTACATAGAGAGACCCTGTCTCAAAAGAAAAAAAAGTAAAACAAACAAAACAAAACTTCAAAGAGAAACGCCCCCAAGCACAGACTCCCCTGCAAACACAGACTCCCTGGCACAGAAACCCCTCCCGCACACTGCCCCCCAGCACAGAGATTTACCAACACAGAGAACCCTCGGCAAAGATACCCTCAGCACAGAGTTTCCCACCCTGAACAAAGACCCTCAGGACCTGGACCTGGTAACAAGGGCCCTGCCTGAGACTGTGTAAATCCGGAGGCCACAAGACCACTGCCTCCCACTGTCTAGCCGTGCACTACCCGTCCATAATTCCACCTGGGCCAGCGTGGGGACCGCGACGGTGACCCCGTCCCCGTCCTCCCCCACCCCCGCACCGGGGCCCTAGTGCTGCTCCAGCGTGAGGGCCCTTTAAGGGAGGGGGCGTGTGCGAACCGCCCGCCCC